TGGGGGACTGCGTTCGCGCTCTCCCCTGATTCACATGTCAAAGAAAATTGTCCGTAATATGCTAGTCAGCCACCAGAGGTTTGGTCATTGGTAGCTATGAGAATTAGTCGATTCGACCATTATTTCTTTTAACTGTAATTAAGAGATACCGCTTAATTTATTATTTCAATTAAAGAAAATTGTCTGTTGCCAAATGTGTGTGCTGAGGTTCAGTTTCTAGTATCCTGAAACAAAATAACTAGGACGGTTACACATCAAGTTTTTATTGTTGAAACTTTAGTTCAATAGTGGATCTACTGACCCATAAAGATTTCAAATATTTAACCAAATTATTAATTTTCTCCTTCAAATGTTTTGTCAAATTGCTAAATGTACACTTAAGCTTCATAATTAAGTTTAAAAAAAAATTTCATATTTAAAACATAATAGAGCTGCTCTGTTTGTACTTTAAGGTGATTAGAAATAAGATGTTTAATGATACTTTATAGGTGACTTTTGGCCAGTTTATCAGATGGAAGTTTGAAATGGTGGTAAATTGTGGTTGAACAGCCTTTTTTAGCTAATGAATTCATAATAAACTTTTCAGTATTAGCAGCCTGTAAAAGGTGGAAGAAAAAGCCAGAATAAAATAAAAATATTTATTTCTTTTTTGAGGAGCAGTTCATAAAAACATGCACGCAGTGTTTATTTGGCATAGCGGCTCTTTATTATATTTTTCTTCTTTGAAGAAAAAAAAGATTATTTTTTTAATCTTTGAATTCTTTGCAGGTGGATGCCCCTATGGTGTCCTGGATTGTTGATTACCACAGTATGTACGCCTACAGAACTATGTCTGACACGGTGGTCAGCAACACGGGGCCCCTCAGGGGACTGTCCTCTCTCCATTCCTCTTCACCGTCTTCACCTCAGACTTCAGCCATTGCTCTGAGTCCTGCCACCTTCAGAAATGTTCTGACGACTCAGCAATAGTTGGCTGCATTGAAAGGGGCGATGAAGGTGAATATAGGACTGTGGTGGGCAACTTTGTCACTTGGAGTAAACTGAACCATCTTCAGCTCAATGTGACAAAGAGCTAATAGTGGATCTGAGGAGGGCCAAAACACCTGGGACCCCTGTTTCCATCCAGGGGGTCCCTGTGGACACTGTGGAGGAATATAAGTACCTGGGGGTGTACTTAAATAATAAACTGGACTGGGCAAGAAACACAGAGGCAGTCTACAAAAAGGGCCAAAGCCGACTCTTCTTCCTGCCTGTGGTCATCAATCTGTACAACGCCTCCCTCTGAGAGTCAAACTAAATTATTGACATTATCCACCACTTATATTGACCTATGTATTTACATATAGTTTTTTATGTATATATCTATATTATATGAGGAATTTTGTATATATATATATATGTATGTACAGACATGTATAGATGTATATGCCGCTGTTTTATTTATGGAGCCAGTAACAAAAATCATTTCCTTCTGGGATTATTAAAGTATTTCTGATTCTCATTCTGATTCTGATTTAAACTCGGTCAACTTACATTAAATTATCCAGAAGACAGGAAATAAGGTGACTAATGATTGGCCTTTTTAGAAATGTGACAAATCCTTCATGACTGCTACCGGCAGACAAAGTGTAAATGAAATAAATGTTATTTACCTATATAACATAAAAAATTCCACGTTGTTTTGCCCATCCACCTAAACTATATATATTTAGTCTTTTTTGTGTAAAGTTTCTATTTGAATAAAACATGTTTTATGTGTTCCCTTGCTTCACATTGGCCTAAATCGTACCACGTGACCAGGAAGTCAACCGGTCTTATTTTTGTAAATATATTAACATTGCTTATTATAGCTTAACAACATATGTGATGAATAGGACCCATTAAAAATGCAATTTTTTTACCCCAAAAATAATTTAAAATTTTTATTGAAGGAGTTCGTCGTTTAGTCGTTTGTGTTTCTTCACTCTCTATTGGCCGAAACCTTATCACGTGTCAAGGAAATCACTCGGTCTTATTGCGTGACATTCGTCAACGTAGTTTATGTTAGCTTCACAACATCTGCGGGCAATGGGACCAAGTGAAAATGGCTACTGTTTGTTTTTGTGACCCTAAAATGTAGAATATGACTGGCACTTTTTTCAAACCATTAGCAAGAACAACGTCGCAATGGATCATAGAGTTACCTCCAACCTGTTAGAGTTATCGCTTCTCGGCCTTTTGGCTAAGATCAAGTGTAGTATCTGTTCTTATCAGTTTAATATCTGATACGTCCCCTATCGGGGACCATATATTAAATTGATTTTTGGAACAGGGAGATGGAATAGGGGCTTGCTCCGTCCACTCCACGCATCGACCTGGTATTGCAGTACCTCCAGGAATGGTGCACCCCCCTAAACATGTTAAAGTAAATGTATAAAGTCAACAAATAAAGTTTACTCTGGTGTGAAAAATAAAATGTTGAAAAAACAATATTGTTAAAGGAGTTCATGAATATCTTTAAGCGTCGTCATACAAAGTTGATGCCTTCAAATTGTGAGCTTTGTGTTTAACAGCTGAGATGCTCGAAACCAGCTGTTCCCTGTATTCTCCACTAGGGGTCAGCAGCGTTCTGAAAGCTCTTTTGGTCTCTCATCCTCCACGTGACGTGCCAGGAAATAATATAAAGATCGGTTTTAATCGAATGTACAGGAACTGCAAAGCTTTTACCACATTTTAATGTCTTTCTATAATATTCCGTCCCTAATAAAGGTGAAATAAACAGATTTTACAGTTGATTTTTATGTTGCTTCTCTTCCCAGGGAGGCTGAGGAGCATCTCCTGATTCCCCGGCTGTGGAGACACGTGGCAGAGCTCTGCTGACCTCAGCCCCTTTTCCTCCTGCAGACACCGATGTTCTCCCTGTTCCTCTGAACGTTTCCTCTCCCCACAGTCCATACAGATCAACTCTACCCAGAATGAGAATCTGAGACAGTAAAATGTGTGCATCTGCTTGTATTTGCATAAATGTATTCTATTGATGGCCTGTATCACCGAATAAAGAATCAAACAACAATTTCTCCTGTCATTATTTAAAAACTTGAAATTAGGTCGTAGGTTGTGTAGTCGGGATCCAGTTTCCTTTGAGGAGGGTGGGGATCATATTTGACTCTTCACAGCATCATTTACCCGTTTGAGGGACTAAAGGAAAACTGCGTTGGCCGGGAATCGAACCCGGGTCAACTGCTTGGAAGGCAGCTATGCTAACCACTATACCACCAACGCTACAAGAACCGGGGCGTCTGGTAATCTATCCATCTCCGCAGTCCACATCTGGATAGCAGCTGTAAGAGAGAAAGAAGGGAGAGGTTTCAAAAGGTTTTACGTTTTGTGTCATTCATGCTAAGGGATCTCAAACTTTGGACCTTGACATCTTATGTCCTGCAGGTTGCAGATGTTTTAGGTGTTTCACACCTGGACAGATGTGGTACAGGGATGTACATGAGCTGTGCTGATGCAGGGAAACATCTGCAGGCTGCATGGCCGCTGTCCTCCAAGGCTGGATGGAGCAGGACATGCTGACCAGGTCCAGGGTTGGGAAACGCGGCGTAAAAGGCTTTAAGTGGTCAGCTGGAAGAATAAGAGTACACTGCCAATTTGTATGTGAAAAGCCAGAGGGAGAATCTCAGCTGTGTGCATCTGGAGATGGAGGCAAAGGGAGCGTCCCCTTTTTGTGTTTGCAGTGTGGACAGTGAGTGCAAAAAAAGCGTCTGGACAGAGCATTACAGGCACAGGGTCACAGTTTTGAAGTTTAAGGGTTTTTTTTTGTTTTTCTGGCTTTGGCTGTCAAGACTAGAAATATATTGACTGCTCTGACTTTGAAGTAACAGGACATAAGGCAGCTCCCTTAATAATGTCCATTTGCCCGATAATGTTTACATCTGCAATACCATTAATCTTCTTACTGTAAATTTATTTTAGTCCATACTGTCAGACTATTCTATATACTCTTTCTTTTTGTATTCTCTGTATCTGTTGCATGTTCTGCATTACAACTTAAGTCAGATTCTTTGTATGTAAGAAATACTTGGTCAATAAACAAAATTCTGTCACTAAGAGAATTAAATTACTTTATTTAAAACCCTGCAAAAATAATTTATATCATGCAAAAGTGAGCTGCGTTGGCCGGGAATCGAACCCGGGTCAACTGCTTGGAAGGCAGCTATGCTAACCACTATACCACCAACGCTTCGATAGGAGACATCCAGACGGGCTCTTTGGATCTGGTCGGGCCGGTGCCACGTAGTGGATAGAGATGAGACAGAGATGGAGGATTAAGCTCGTGGCTTCTCCTTTCTGAACCACGACAGACCGGAGCGTGGCCCTCACTCTGACCACACCCCACTTTGCGTGTCAGTCTCTAGAGACTGAGATTCCTCCATCCCAAAACGCCAATGGCGTTCAACCTTTATCCATCTGAAATTAATAAACTGTAGCAGCTTAATCCAGCATGCTTTCATTCAGCCCCCCTCCCAAAAAAAAAATACAAATACTACACAGGAAAGAATAAGTCAAAGAAACACAAGCTGTACTTGATTTGTTTTTTATTTTCTTAGAACAAAACATTTCTCCATCTGCTTCAGACAATGAGACACAGAACTTAACAGTCAATTAAAATAACACAAAAGAAAAAATATATAATAAAAGTTCAAAAAGACAACTTTTACAAAAACCATGTTGTCCACTGCCTCTGAGCCACCTGAGCATAAAACCAGTTCTTTCAAATGAGCCCCGTGGGGTCGCTGTATGAGCATAATACAAAACGGAAGAGGGACAACTTAATGTGGAGCACACAGGAGCTGAGACTCCTCACCACGTCTGGGGCACAAACGTCAAATCGAAATGCCTGTCGTTCATTAATACGCAGCCCGGTGTATCAAAACGAGGCCATTTCAACATCAGGGATCAATTTCTGACTGTGAGGGGTTAAAGTTCACAGTTCAGGATGGTTTCAAATCAAATTCCTCCTTCGGGCGAGTTGAAAGCAGTCATGGTTAAAGTACACGTGAACATGGGAATGGCGGACCGATCTTGTTCCTGCGGCCGGACGGCCTCAGTTGGCGTGCTGCACGGTGGAGAAGCACAGCTTCAGGGTGTAGGGGTACGGTCCGGCTGGAGGAGAGAGGACAGCGGCTCCGTCACACACAAAAAAAACACAACAGCCATTCAAGGACACAAAACCAGAAGAAAATTAAGTATTCAAACTGGTGGTTCAGCACCTGGAGCAGTGGTGCCCAACCCCTGGCTCACGGACCTATACGGGGTCGCTGATAACTTACATCATTTAGGTTTTATTTATCATCCGAGCCTCCTTTTATTTGGAGAAATAGCCAAATCTTTAGAATAAATCCCTTATCAACATCTGTCTGACAACTACGCAAGTAGGCTAACTAACTTTAAACTTTAATACATGCTCTGATAGGCCGGGATCGGATCGGATGTGCAAAAAGCTAGATCGGGACATCCCTACAAAACAGACGTCTCTGCAAAGGGAGAGAAGCCAGTGACCACTAAGTAAAGGGAAGCTGCATTTAACAAACGGTACCAGGGGGCCCACATAAACATGGACTTATGCCGCCGACTCGGCACAAAGTGCAGCCACAGGCTAAAGTTATAGACGAGCACTGTTCCTGTCTGTCACACCTGTAACGCCCCAGAAAATGTTATCTGACATTGGACAGGTCCGCGGCTCAAAGGCTACGGTCTACATGACGGAGACCGGTTGTGCAGGCAGAGCGGGGCGTCTGCACAACAAAGTCAGCTCCTCCGAGCTGAAGAAGCCCTCCAGCTGTACATTTTCTCCAATGCCGGTAAACCCCAAACACAACTGGCAGGAAGCCACGTGGAAAATCCCCAGCAGATAAGGGTCAGCGTGTCCTGGGCTTCCCTGTCGGGCCTGCTGGGACCCGGCCGGACGCGCTCACTGACCTGGGTTTTTCATCTGGTGGTGGTTCATCAGGGCCAGGGCCTCCATGGCGTCGTTGATGGACTCCCACTCCAGCAGCCCCGAGGCGCTGCGGTCGCTGGGGGCGGCTCCACCTGCAGGGACAGTCTTTCTGAGTACGTACAGCAGAACCTCGGCTTACCCACGCCCAGACTTACGAAGTCTCCAACATCCAAAGTGAAATTTGATCAAATATTCAACTTGACACCCCAGTCATAGTAAAAAAAACTATATAAAAATGACATAAAATAAATAATTTCAAGTTTTGGTACTGAAATTTAGAGTAAGTTATAGTACGCCCTGTATCTCAGTCACCCTTTAATTGATTATCTCTATCTCTTTATAATGCATAGAATTTGTATTTTACTATACGAAGTAGGCCCCGGAACAAATTAAATTTGTATGTACAGGTTCTACTTTATCTCATCTTTGATTTCACTACTCATGTGAAGCATAATAGACGGCTTACTTTTTCCGGTGAACATTTTGACGTTTACGGGGCTTTTGACGCCGATGTCGTCGCAAATCTGAAGAAAAAAGTAAAATAAAATAAAATAAAAACATTTTAAAAACTTTTGCCGGGACTCTGGGCTGAGAGAAGCGCACGGAGGCGGTGTACTGCGAGCCGGACCTGAGAGAAGACCTCCGGCGTGGCGTCCGGCTGGGCGTTGAAGAAGTGCAGCACGTTGCTGGGGTGCTGGATGCGGTTCTTGGCCGCCTGCTCGGGGGAGGTGAAGCGGTTGTTCCGGGAGCCGTGGAAGTCTTTGAAGCTGCTGGTGCCGTCCTCCAGCTCGTAGCACTGGCCCGGAACGATGGCCTGCTGCTTCGACACGCTGCGGGGAGACGCGACCCGGCTCAGTTTCCCCCCTCCAGAGCCAAAAACGGGGGGGGCTGGGGGAGGCGTCCCCGAGCGCCGACTCACCACACGTTCAGCTTCTGGCCGAACAGGAAGTTGTTGTTGAGGTGGGTGATGGCGCGGTCCACGGCGTAGCAGTCGCCCATCTCCACCATGGCGGCGCCCGGTTTGCTCTTCATGAACTTCACCTTAAAAAAAGGGAGGACACGAGCAGGATTTACCAGTTTCCTTTCATCAACAGAGGATGACAGTTTCAGAAGCTTTGAGCAAAGCCTTTCACAAGCTCCAGTTGAGAGACGGCAGGAGTGGAAATCCTTTGTTTTATATGGATCGCTATCGTTTTTCATGCCCTCGAGGTATGTGCAAATTCATAACGCATTGAGGGAACTGTAGGGAAAGCCTCAGTTTACAAAGAGTGAGTAAGTAATTACAAATATCTGTTTTTTTAGAAGCCACAAGAACAATCGCAATATTTGGGAAAAACAATAATGTGGTGCAGAGGGCGTTTCCTCTTGAAAGGATCACATGGGAAAGGGAAAGTTGTCAATATTTGAAATAGTGAGGGCCATTCAAATGCTTTGGTTTAACAGAAGATCCTGAAGACGGATTATCAATCCGTTTCTGTAAACACATAAATGAATAGTGTTTATTTGTACGTTTATGTTAGCCTTAGTTTCGTCTGTTCCTTTAGGGAAAAAAATAATTGTTCACGTTTCCTTGCATATACTGTTTTCTTGTTTATTGATTCTTTTAAATCAATAAACGCATTGTTCCAACTAAAGAAGAACTGAGGGAAAGGTGGACGTGAACTAGAGCACAAACAGAAACAGAGCCTGTGGTGGTTTCGGTTCTGCAGAATACCGACCCGCTCCACGTTCCCGTAGAGGCAGAAGATGTTGAAGACGCGGTCGGCGTTCATCTTGACCGGCTCCAGCCCGTAAACCATGACCACTGGCGAGTCGGCGTGGGCGCCGTACTCGCCGGGAGGGGGGGGCGGCGGCCCGTAGCCCTGCCCATAGCTCCGAGCTCCGCGTCCCCTCATGGGGGGACCCATCCGGCGGACCTCGTAGGGTGGCGATGCGTAGCCCTCCTCGTAACCATGGTAGCCACCTCCTAAAGAATTAGCCAAAAGGCAACAGTTGAGCTCCTTTAATCCTTCAAACCGGTCTGTGGGCATAAACTTAAGCCCCCCCCCCCCAGCTGTCAAATCAAACGGTTTGTTAGCAGACATGAAGTCAAACAGCAGGATATACAAATTCCTGCAGAGCCAGCAAGACAAGAATCTGGGAGCTATAAAGATTCAAATCTCTTCAAAGATTTGAAAACGAGAAAAAAAAAAAAAGACAGGCAGCGGTGAGACCTCACCGTAATCTGGAGGGTGGTCACCCAGCAGAGCGGGCTGCCTCTGGCGCTTGTTTGGGTTGGCGTTCACGTCTTCTACGGGGAACAGAGAGGGGAGGAGGTGGAGGAGGAAGGGGTAGGGGGAAAAAGAAAAATGGCATAAATCGATCCAAACTATAAAAGACAAGAGCTGCAGACTTTACATGACAGTGGAATGCCCACAAAATGTGAAAAACTGGCATCTGGACGCCACCGTCCACCTCTGACTGACCACCATACAGTCTACAAATTTGTAAGGGTCTCTTTAGAAAGTGACTCCAGATTAGTAGACATGCACTTCAGGACTGTCTCATCTAGCCTGGAAGAGTCACACCAGCACAGACGCACAACCCTCCCCCCACATTAACACCCCAGGTAGCTACAATCACTTCAAACGTTTGAGCTCCGACTGTCTCAGTGATTGTACGTGGTTTATCAAGTCGAGGGAATGGGGGGGGGGGGCATGGGGATGTAACATACAGCAAGAACCAAGTTACCCTTTAAGGAAATGACCCTAAAACACAAACCCCTTAAATCCAAAAGCATCCACAATGTAATCGGTTAGGCTAAAGTCAAACAGGAGGAAATGGTTTCGGATGAGGTGGATGCTGATGATCTAGGAGGTGAAAAGGGGGGAAGGGTTTCAAACAAAGTCACTCTGGACAGTGTGTAAGAGATGGCTAAGTTCAAAAGGAAAAAGTTGATACGCTCACACACACCTGCATTGCTGCCATTGCCATCTGCATCACCATCTGTACAGGTACACAATAATCATACACAATCAGAATGGAAGCCAGGTTAATCAGTTACAATTTACAGGGCATACGAATTGAAGTTAACCCAGTTAAATGTCAGGAGAGTGCAGTAAATATACTCATGACAAGGCTGCCTGCCCTCACTCGGGACCGTTTCAGGGCAAAAATTAGCTACGACGTGCTGGTGGCTCTGTACCCCTGCAGGTGACCAGCCGGGCTCGCGGCCCCGCTCCGAGTCAGTGACACGATAAAGGGACTGACCGCAGGTCCCGGGGAGTCACATGTGGGTTTACTCGCGGCTTCAAACCGCCCACACGGGCGCCATCAGTGTGTTACGGGGCTGCGTTTGGGGGACAGTCAAAGCGGGCGTCGACAGAGGCACAACCCTCAGCCCCTTTCAGAACGAGGGTCAAGCCTGTGTGGGGGTGTGTCTGGTGTGGCCATGGTGGCTGCGGCGCTTTGCGGGCGTGTGGTGCTGTGCGGGTATTTTCGCGAGGAGGGTCTCGAGTTACTTACTGCATGATTATTAACAGTGGGGAGGCATTTGCTGAAGCAGCTCCAACACAATCCACTCAGTTCATTTCATCCCAAACTCATCATTTCCTCTTTGGAAGTGGGGTGAGGGCAACTCTCCACCTCGGGATCGATTCTTGGTTTTAGCAAGTTGAAATGCTCTTTGCGGGCTGCTAGGGATTTCCATCCTTTGTGTTCCCTTTTAGAGGAATAGTCTGCTTAGCGTCCACTGGTTGGCCTTGAGGCTGCCAGAGAGCACATGTCAGTAGGCAGGGGGGCTCCTCTTAGCCGCAAATTGCCAAACCTGCATTACATGGAAGGCGTTACACAGGTTCTAGAGACTTTCAGAAGATATAATATATTTTAAAAAAAAATCTTCAAAGCTAAACAGGGATAATTTGCAAAAAAAAAAAAAAGTGGGAGGATAAGATGAGACAAAGAGAGAGTGAGACAGAAAGGCGGATTTCCATGTGGAGGGGGGGTAAAATGTGGGGTAAAACCAAAAGAAATGGGCCTGACTGGGCTCAGAGTGTGCTGGATGGTGCAGTCAGCAGTGTCCTGTCTTCATCAGTTGTCTTGTGTTGGCTCCAGTGTGAGTGGCTACAACTCGCCTGTGGGATCAGTCGGTGCGGCGTCAGCAAATGTGTCGGGGGGGGGGGGGGGGTTTTGTGTCGGAGCGTGACGAGCGGCGCGGCCCCCAGCGGTACGTGGAGGGCCGGGGCTTAAAAAGTGTGACCTCAGTGGATCTGTGTCAGTATGCGTCGGCTGCTGTGCTGAGGGATGTCTGCCACTACCCTCTCTCTGGGTGGAGTTGTGCATCCTCGGCTGTGAGTCGCCGTTGGGTGTCGACAGCTTCAGTGTGTCAGTCACAATGGGAGGGCGGGAAAAGAGGGGGGGGAGGCACCGAGAATAGCTCGGTGCCCAAAACTCCCCGCGCTCTGCTGTGTCCTCGTGGCTCTTGTGCAGTGGTGTATCAGTCCTACTTCGGCGTGTTGAGTGGATGGCTCTCCTTTGGCCCTCTGTATGAAAGTGGTTGTGTCCTCACTGAAGAAGTGGAAACTTGGGCTGGTGTCAGCGTGTGTCTGCCTTTCACTCTGAGCTCAAGTGAGTGTGTTTCTTTGGAGTTCACAGATGCCGGTCCATGCCTTTACTCTAAAGAAAGGCCTTTTTTCCTTTCTTTTGTTTTTACATTTCCCGCCGAGTGGGACTGACGGAAAAGCCCCCCCGAGGCTTACATGCAACCGAATGGAGGAGTTTCGCAAAATGACGGGAAAAGACCGGGGTGACGGGGACGGTTCCCTCTAAGAGCACCGACGCCTTGACCGAAAAGCCCACATAGCTCTGGTGTGTCGAGAGGGAAGCAGGAACAGCATATGCCAACCAGATAAGGAAAACAACAGAAATATGTAAACACTTGCGAGACGTGACAATCCACGCCCCATCTGACAGTGGCCTGTTTATTTAAAGACGAACGCCACGCGGCAGATCTAAGGCCGCTTTAAAGCTTGTCACTCCTGTATCGGTGACTTTTTATGGCCGGGGGTGTGCGGACTGTTCTCGTTCTCCACATTAAATCTCGGCTTAGACACTCAGTGTGTAGGAGGCCTCTGCTTCAAAACTGAACAGAGCTAAAATTTGCCAATATTTCATTCTATAAGTGGAAAAACTCCCCTTTTCTCGGCGAGTGGAACGACCTCTCGTTAAGGAGGAAGTGCATCACTCATAATTACAGCAAACAAGACCTCAAACATACCTGAAAACTGATCTCAGATAAAGAAGACCAGCATGAACTGAATGACGTTGGGCTGTGTGTAAACACTTCCCCCCATGGTTAAACCAGAACATCTACATTCCGGAGCGGGAAGAACCTTAGCCCCAAGATATCATGACTAGGTGTCTCGCCACCAGTCGTCTCGCCAACAGGCATCTTTGGCCCAGGTGACAATTACTTAGGGAAGAGGAGAAAAATGACATGTCTGACAGTCACCTTTAAGTCTGCAAATGCATTCCTGCCAGTCCCACCACACAGCAGAGTTACTTTCTACAGTAATTCACACCAAGATTATAATATCTTGGTCCCCCCTGTTCAAATACCAGGCACAATCTTTCCAACACTTAATAATGGAGGCGGTTTACGTTTTAGCCCTTAACCAAAGTGCTTAAAGAATCCGGCCTCCATCTCTCGCGTTATCTGCTTTCTGAAACTCGCGATGGGGGCAGTTGGTGTTGAAATGCATCAGGCCCAGGTGAAAAAGCAGTGATGTGCCTGTGTTTGAGGTTTTACCTGGTCCCCCCAGACTGGGGTTTGTGTAGTCCCAGGTGTCTTGGTCATTCTTGAACACATTCAGACGAGTGGGCTGTGGAAGTACAAATCACAGTTTACACAACTTTACGACACATCCAGTCTCTTTCTTCCTGAAGCACAGCAGGAACTAACCAATAACAAAAGGGAACTGTAGGACTTTCAAGTTAACCATGTTTCACCAACTCTTGACATGAGTATCATGAAAAGACCAATCACAAAGCAGGAAGTGAAAAAAACCTGTGCTCATTCTGAGCTATAACCAAGCTAAAGAATAGTACAATTACAATAGTTTTTAATGCTCTTAATTCACTGCAGGCTCTTATCTAAACATGCAGAAAAAAAATATATTAATTTTAGCTGCAGCTTTCAAGTATATTACAAGTTTTGCCCTTACTGGAAACAAAAAAAGATTTGAAGTTTTAAAAAAGTTTTAAAGGCGAATATCGATGTAAACAACACCGGTTTGATTTGAACTTCACCGAACATGAAGTAAAGTTCAAATGTGGATGATAAATAAAGTTACGTTAGTTTCACATCTTTAAAAGTCACGAGCTATAAAAACATGTGATGACAGTTTGCATCTGAGACAAACAACAATCCTGCTTTGTGCAACGCGACGCTTCCTGCAGGTGCGCAACAACCGCCCCCCGTTTAAAAGCATGCGGCGTGCTTACCTTTGCGTACTCGATTTTCAGCGTGCAGCAGCCAGAATAAATGTCGGCTCCGTTGAGTGACGCCTTGGCCCGCTGAGCACTTTGCACTGAGTCAAATGTGGTACAGAGTCAAGGAGATGGCAAGAGGCCAGGTTTGTTTGCAAGACTGAAAGTGTTTATCTCAAGTACCTAACTGACATGCACATTTTGTTTACACAGGTAAATAGTTAACGACATATTTCCATCCATCGTTAATGACACATCACTTAGACGCGTCTCATGCTTTGATTCATGCAGTACCGGTTCGCTTTCAGGATGAGGTGAAACACCAGCTTAGCTGGAGGGTATCCATCTGAAATTACTGCAACAATTTCAATTCTAATTAGACAAAAACAATGTAGAATATCAGGTTCCAGCAGGTTGAAGCTCAGAGAAACTGATCAGGGTGCAGCCCAAGATCAATGTACGCCTTATAAAATTCCCCTCACTAATATCTGCGAATCCTGCTTTGGTTTGGTCCAGCATAAAAAGGCTAAAGGGTTAGCAGTCATTTGTTCCAGCGAAGTAACATGAGACTCAGCTGCATACAGAGATCACTGTATGTGTAAACCAGCTGAAATCAAAAACACGTTGGTAAAAGCCGCAGGAGTCACGTGACCGTCTGGTGCAGGTTACACAGACATGAAATTAAAGCAGCTGTATCAGGAATCCTGCTGGCGTCAAAAAATAAAACTTTACAGCTTTACAAGAGCTTCAACTATGCAGAACCTGCAGAGCGAGAAACAAATTCTCAGTTTTATGAATGTCTTTTTTAGAAAGCAACAAACACCATGAGGTGATGTGGACAAACTGGATAAAAGTTTCTGCAAACCAAAGAAAAATATTATTCAAAACCATCTAATTAAAAAAAACAAAAAAAAGGACTTCCTTTTTCTAGAAATTCCTAATAATATTCCTGTCTATCTTTTTATTTACATGATACAAAGCTGCATAACACAGACTTTGAAAGTATCCAAAGCTAAAATACTTTTTTGAGCAGAAATATAGGAACTGCAGTTTTTCTAATTAATTTGTTTTTAATAGCAGCACTTGTGACAAATTTTAAAATAAACATTTAACCCTGGTTTGTATAAAATTGCAGAGTCCACTTGTCTTCTGAGCCCATGTACGCTTTTCTCTGAGCGCACTCTCTGGAAACATTAATGGGATTGAGTTGTTCGCAAATGAGCCGCATAGAAAGTGATGCTCGCGTTACCATTTCCAACCAAACCGGACTGCCTGTCAGAAAGCCTCCAAGATTACAGGTGAAGCCCTGGTTTGTTGTTTCTTCTAAGGAAAATCTCCACTAAGATTACCCCTCTGATGATTCATAACATGCAGCAGCTGTGTTTAACAGGACAGTGATTAGATTATAATCCCCGTTTCAGAAGGCATCTGTGGGAAAAGGATATTCAACCATCGCTTGCACGCCATTCTTTCGGAAGATGACGATTCTCTGGACAGGCCCACAGTTGTTGCAGATGGTGTAGAGCACATCCTGATGGGAAATGTGCAGTTTGAATTAAACATGGAGGTGACACAAGCGCAAGCAATCCGATTAAAAACAAACAAAAAAGTTTCACATATTGATTATATCTTAAATTGAAATGAGCAATCTGAAGATCAACGTTAGACAGAGTCATGAATCTGGATAAGTTGCACTGCAAAAAACAAATAAAAGGCTATTTGCTTTCACCCAAAGATCAAATAAACCTTTTTCTGCTCTAAAAGCTCAAATCCAGTTTGGCAGAAACGTTGATCTATTTACATGTGAGTGACATTCCTTTTATTTCTTCAAAACTGAAACAATCCTGACGGCAAACACTGAACAATACGCTCAGTGTTTAAGGGCTGACAGGTTTCTGTATTTACCGTGGTGATGGGGTAGATAGGGTTCATGATGGTGAACAGAAGGACATTATTAACACTTCTGGAGTCGTCAGAGTCCCCAGGTCTGGAGATTTTTTTGCTTGTAGAGTAGTTGATAAAGGCTGGATGGCCAGCAATGTACACTTGGTTGTCTGCGGCGTAGGTCACAGCCGTAGACGACCCGTTCATATCCTCATACTCCACCAGAGCCTGACGCTTGTTTGGCATCACCACCACATAACTTTAACGAAAACAGAGAATGCCATTTGGAGTCAGTTTCACTATCCATTCCCCACCTGCATCGCTACCCAGTTGTCAAAAATAACAAACAGACTCTTCATTTACCTGATGGCTCCAAATTCCTGCAAAGCCTCCACAAGGTCAGCCTCTGTGACGCCGTCCACCAGCCCACGGACGTGGACCACCACCGAGGGAAGTGTCTTGTGTGGGTCTTCGTATCCCTGTCACAAAAGAGGACGTTTGTTCAGCTACTTGTCTGACCAGTTCCCAGGGAGATAACGGAGTCAACAAAGTCTTTGCCAATCGTGAGACTTCATGCTTTCTCGGGTTCACCCAAGAGTGCAACTGGGGGAAGGGGAGTCCATTAGCCTCATGTGTTCTTCGTTTTTAAAGCCAGGCCCACATTCATTCTTGGTAACTTAGAAACGAACAGAATTCGGCGGGTGCTTACCTCAGAAACAAACCGCCGTTTGTTCCTGGAGGCCATTGTCAAATGAGGTGCTGTGGGGCTGCAGTGTGTGGCTAGCGCCCTGCTAACGTTACCGGCGCGAGAACAAAGCGGGGCTCGGGCTTAGGCCCGGTTGCTGAAACCGCCCTCTTAACGACCCAGCTCGAGGCTAACCGTACAGACACTGGGGCGATTAAAGTCAGGAGCCGAGTGCCGGGTCTTCAAAACTAACAGCCATGGCGCCTACACGACCAAAATGTCGGTTTATTCAACGACAACGAGGGGGTACCGCTTTTCACCACGCATAGATTGAACGGCCAGCAACGCGTCGTGACACATTTTTTCAAATGAATTAAACTCAACCGAGAAATAAAAGTAGCCAAGTCGGGCTTATATGTTGTGCAAGTGGAAATAATCTTCAACGTAACCCACACAAAACCGACTCACCGTGGCCATTCCGTCGGTTTTTTGTCGTTTCGTTGCCCTGCCGTCTTCGCTGTAGTAACGGCTCGCTGCAGTAGCCATGTTGTCCCCGTTAAAAAGAAAGGTGGTAGTGACGAGCTGAAATGGACGGAAAAATTAAGAAAACCGAAGCTCAGGTCTCCACGCCCATTGTAGTGAAAACTCGCATTACAATAGGCTTCGGCAGCTGTCAATCTATGTGTGACATGCCAAACAACCAATCAGAAGCAACACTTCTATCAGGTTGAAGTTTTGACTCCGCCCACTCCAAAGACAGATTGCATGGTAATGGTTCAGACGCATCAGCGACACCCGCATTTTTAGTTCTGAGATATTTTTCTTAGTTTTTATTGATTGAATTTAGAGATTGTCTCTTAGATTTTTGAGGAAGACTCCAGTAGTCACAGTTTAATACGGAGAAAAAAAACTGGAGTCAAGATTCTTATCTGTAACAAGTCTGCACCCATTATAAAAAGAAAAAAACTCCTGTGAAATTACGAACTAAACAAGAATAAATCACAAACTATAACAAAAACACACTCAAATTAGTCATTTAAAAAAACTTGAGACTAAAGCCCTCCTTTTATAATGACAATTTATCTGGGGCATTCACCATTTCTAATCAATTCTAAATAAAGACAATACAAGCGTGATATGTTGAGGAGGTTTATTCAAAAATAAAACTGCCACAGCTACCATACAGGCAAAAAACAAAAGCAAAACAAAAAGAAACAAGTTACATCAGCCCCTAAAGAAACCAATCTTGAGAACTGTATACATTTTAAAATCAAGTCAGAGAAGCAAATGAGGGTCAAAACACAGTGAATCAATTCAGCAGTCCTGCTAATCTGATTAAAGTAAAATGGAGGGGAAAAAACTGTTGGAATGTGACATCACACTCAAAGGCATGCAGACCAGCCACTAGATCCATTTCCCAGAAAAAAATGTACAAACTTTATTGCAGATATCATTAGCCAATAGTCAGTTGGAGAGAGCCTTCCAGCTCAGGAAAAATTTCTGGGTAACAGCACTCGGCTGTCTCGACCACTTCCCTCAATTTACTGCAAGAACTGCAAACATTACTGTTAAAACACACAAAAAGGTTATTTCTATCTGTGCTACAAATCTTCTGAAAAGAGAGATGAAGCAATGACATAAGAAAAACAAAAAAAATAAAACGTAATAACCCCTGGCTTTATTTTTTCCTGTGTGCCATTCTGAGTAAATCTTGGACAATCTGAGACAAGAGATTTCAGTCCTGGGGCTAAAATTAAACCTGTGGGTCTGGACAGATGTACAAAACAAGCTGTGGGACTGTAAAAGCAGACGGGGTGAGAGGGTCTGTTTAGGAAAGTGGAAGGGAGGGGTGGGGGGGGGGCTAAGTCTTCTTCATTCAGTCATCGGCTGGCGTGGCGCTTCGGTTTGGGGTTGCTGAACGGGAGCGACTGAAACAGAAACAGAGGGGAATTAGCTCGCCACAGGGGAAGACTGAAGAAAGACCTGGAAACAAATACCTGAATAAATGGTTTACAACCAGAAAGGATGCGAATAACAATCAAAATACCCCTGGCCTCATGAATCCAAAGTTCAAATACAGATATTCTTCTGTCATTTAACATCCTATGAGGCCGTCCAGGCTTAAAAGCTACACATGAAACCCATCCATTAAAGTCAGACACTGTGTCACACACTGCTCCTGTTCTGACATTTTAGCACTTACTCCTTGAGTTATAAACTCACGGATGCTGCTTCAAAAGTGTTTATGACATTTTTTTTTATTGAAGACAAAACCTCCTCAGACATCAGCCCCTCACAGTGCACTCGTTCAGTCACCCAGGCACGCTCGCATTCACCCACACATCTTAACATGCTTGTTTAAGGCTCAACGTTAGCAAGCCTGCAAATGTTCTTTTTACCATCAACATGAGCTTGTCAGGGGGTTTGATTTTTGGTTACCTTTGGAGAGACTGGTAGATACAACAAGTACAGAGAAGCGAAGGATGAAAGGACTGTAGGACGGATGACTACAACTCGGAGAAACACTGCGCCGGGAGGCTCTTGAAGACTGATCTCTCGTCAGCTCTTTCTCTCACTTTCAGAAGCTAAGACAGGCGAAGAACTCTGGTAGGTAGGGGGCTCTGGTCGGTAGGTAATGGCTTTAAAAAGGCCCAACTCTGATCTGTGTGGGTCAGCCCTCCGGTACGTCTGAAGGCTGGCTCTGGGTGACTCTAGTAGAGCAACTGTATGTGTGTGCGCGGGCTGATCTCATCTGAGCGTGTGCGTTGGTTGAACAGACAGTCACCCATTCACTGAGGGGAGGGTTCGGTCGGTAGGTCGACCTCTTTCTCGCTGTCTAAGACCAGATGCAGGCGAAGGCTGATCTCAGGTCAGCGCTTAGTCACCCTCCCGCAGGACGTACACACCGCCAGCTGGCAGACCCTGGGCCTGGGATCAGCTGCGGTGTCAGTGCAGTGCTCAGCTCCCACCACACGCTTTAAAGAAAATATGAAAAATAAACAAAACTGCTGCAAAGATGCTCACCACTGGTGCTGTTCAACCTGACCTCAGCTACTGCTCTCCTGGAGAGCTCTTCCTATCTAGCCAAATTCAGGAGATGGACTTTTCATTTTAAAACGGAGGTTTAAAAAAAGGAAATAAAAGAGAAAAACATTTCAAATTCTGTCTCTGACCTTCTTGAACAAGTTTAAAATCCAGAAAATAACTTTCTGACTGCCAGCTTTCATTCATTGTTTTCGGTCTATGACAGATGAGATCTCATGGCTTTAGCTGCTGTGCAGGTAACAGGCTGAGCAGATTGTTGCTCGCGTGCTCTCTTTTCAAGGTTCCTTAAAAAAAAAAAAGTAGTCTTTTTAAAATACTCGGAACCACCAAAACTCGGAAAAGAGAGTACAAGAGGTCCAATCCTCATCTACTTAAATCTTCAAAGACCTGAGAAGAGGATCCGGATTCCTCTGCTTCCCCGCCCCCCCCAGTCCACTGCTGGGAGCAGCAGAGGCTGACGATCTCTCTGTTGAGCAGGCAGAGGGATCTTGGCTGTCATCCATCTTATCACGGCTGTTGGCACCATGACACTTGCGGTTGGAGGTTGGATCTATTTAAACAGCCTTTTCTTATATCATAAAAACCTAAAGTGAAGCACATCGCCTGGCTAATGTGGGGGAAAAGGGTGACCCACACATGGAACGCAGGATATCTAAAAAGCTACGACGGGCTGTCTGTCTAGACCTCACTGGAGCTTTTTCCTACTGACATGTGGGCAGGATTAAGATTCACATTTATTTGATCACCCATACCCCGTGTCAGAAAATGAGACATCTCGGCTCAGCGTTTACCTGATCCTCTTGTGGTTGGTTGATGGAGATCGAGAGCGGGACCGGGAGACAGAGCGTCCTCTGGGGGCAGAACCAGACCGAGACCGGGATCTGGAACGACTGGTAATACAGACAAGAATTTATCTTTTTATCTTTTAAGACTATCATATTTATCTCTAACGGCTAAACCAGAATCCCTGCAGGTGTAGAGGTTCCAGGAACACGAAGGAGGAACAAGTACCGCATTTACTGTATTTACTGCCAAAGTTTTGCTTGTAGACAAACGGGTTACCCAACAATTGTTTTCTCTAACCCATGTCAACATGCCAATGTTTAGAATTTTTTTTATCAAACAAACAGTACATGGACACATACAGAACTTAGCGTTTCATCCACTCTTTTTTTAAATGACTGGTTTTACTTAAAAACCTTTTGCCTTTTTAGCACCGGTAGGATCACTTCTGTTTCGGATCGAGAATAAAGATGCAACTCGTATTCACGCTGCCGTCGTGTCCACAGCAGTGGCTCCAAAGTGCCCCAAAAACCAGACATCTTCTTAAAGACATGCTTTCTGCGCGTGTCTGCGACAGATAATCCAGTTTGAACTGTAAAACTTCAGATCCTAATGGATGTGCGTCCACACAGTGAGACCGGAATCTTCAGACATTTAATATCCATAAAGGCTGTTTTATGCAACCCACCTTCTCACAGGGGTCCTGGACTTGGAACGGGCTGGGGATCCAGACCTAATGTTGGAAAGAATGTAGTAAGAATGGCAACAATGAAATGAAATCAGGAAACAAAAGAAATAATGCAAGAGGGAAGCAACTCTAAACTGTCCTCGTTTTAGAGAGGGGGTGGGGACATGTGTAATAAATCTTTCCTTTGCAGGTAAAAGGAGGAACAAACTTTTAGTGCAACAGGACGTGTTCGTACCTGCTCCTGCGCCTGGAGTAGGATGGAGATCGGCGACGGCTTCTGACAAGGAACAAAAGTTTAAAAAAACATGTCAAAACAAGTGGCATTATGGCTGATATATTTTCATTTCTAGCACAACATACTGTTAAAACAATAACTCATTTAAAATAAACCAGGAGTGGATAAATAAATATTTACACCAATGCCATCTGGACAGTAAGCAGAGCGTTGGAACACTGACAGCCAAAACCAACAATTTCATTCAAGTTTAATCCTGCGTGTCCGTGTTATGTTGTCAACTCACCGGCTGTAGCTTCGGCTGCGACTGCGGGAGCGAGAGCGGTAGCGGCGCCCGCGTGACCTGGACCTGGAGCGGGACCGCGAACGAGACCGAGACCTGGAACGAGAGGACAAGTTAACCCCCCCCCCTTTGCTCCTTTGTTGTTGCAAACACTATTCTGGCCGGGGAAACAAAGCTAATGAGGACCAGACATCAGACAAATGGAGCATTCCTCCACCTGCTGCGGCGGCCTCTCTTGCTGTAGCGGTAGCAGTCGTAAGCGTAGTGGCCCCGGTCCCCACACTGGTAGCACCTGTCATTGGGGTCAAACTGCCGACGACTGGGTCGCCCACGACCCTTCCTGGAGAGGCCTGTGGACATCTCAACACGGACCCGGGAGCCACAAAGGAGCCTGAACAGAAAAGAGATGAAAGACTTTAATTCCAATAATCATATCAGTTCAAGATAGAAGAAATTAATTGTTCTCTCTCTCTCTCACACTCAAAAGAACCTACAGCACAGATTCGACTCATATGGAAAGAAGAAATCGGTTTGTACTTACTTTCCATCCATGCCTTTCACAGCATCTTCGGCGTCTCGAGGATCCTCAAACTCCACAAAAGCAAACCCGGGGGGATTTCTGGCCACCCAGACGCTTCTCAGTGGACCGTAATAACTGAAAGCTCGTTCCAACTCCCCCTTGGCAGCACCATTTCCCAGGTCACCAACATAGACTTTACAATCAGTGGCCCGAGATGAACTACGGGAGGATGAATAGTATGACATCTCTCCTTGTCTGTTGGGGGAAAGACAGTTAAACCAGAGGTCAGACATTGTAAAGTTAAAATGGTTTCCATCTGAATGACTGATCAAGCTTTCAAACGTACTTAGAACGGTGCTTATCAACACATCTGTGTAAAATTAATACAATGGATTAATTGCCAAGACAACAGAGACGTCACAAAAATATTTAAGTAATACAGACATTTTCATGTAATTAATAAATCAAAATGAGTATATTTGAATCCCCATTGGAGAAATTGTGTCCTGATTCATTTATTTCAAAAGGACACTTTCATGTTTCCTTAAAAAACAAACATTAAAACAGTTGGTTATTTTACATTTAAATTTCCCAAATAATATTTTAGTGTGGCTCAGGAGTATCCAACTCTGGTAATTGAAGGAAGCTGTGTTTTGAATGATTCCCTGACCTAATACTGATTAGACAACTCTACAAAGTACTGAGGATAAAAAGGTGTGATCAACTATCAGTAACATTTAACTGGAATAAAGGCTAACATGATCAAAAAAGATTTTTAACACTGCGAGCTAAAAAAAAAAACTTTGATAGGTAAGATGAAACTGATATGAGAGTTATACTTTAACAATTACATTCATACTTAGGTTTGTCTGCTCTTAATGTTCTTGTTCTGTGGATTTTTTGTGTTATTCTTGCAGATATCTAATCCCTAATTTTTTGGATGTTTTCATTAGTTTTAGCAATTAATGTGTCGTTTTCCAGGCTTATTGAGACAACACAAAAGCGCGTCTGCACGCAAACAAACGATCACCATGGAAACCACTTTTTACCCCCCAATGGCGGTAAAAAATTAAAAAAAATATTAAAGCCCACGGAAGGCGTTGAGATCATTTAAAACGTACAAAAAATTAATGAAATGTTACTAGTTGTAAGTGAAAGCCCCTAATAATTTGAAACACGTTTGCTAGCTAAACGGGTGTTTTAGCGCCACCATTACCTTCACTGCACTATGACTATGCCATTTATGATTATCTCTGTATTATAGCTAAAGTCTGTACTTGAATTGTTAACATAAATTGCACTGTTAATTACAACTGCTTTAAAATGTTTGAACCATCGCACTTTTGACCTGTGGACGCGGTCCTAGCTAACGTAGCTGAGCGTGCTAACGCACGAGTGATGAAGGCGGAAACAGCGTCAATCTGGATGTTTACACGATCTGGACTTTATAAAATTGTTTGCGAAAAGAGTTAACCGTTTTCAACTAAACAATACCGTCAATATGAAGACTCTGACCCAACCGTTAAATCCGAGAATAATTTGAGGCCTTTATCTTGCGCCTCCGTATAAACAATGGCGGATGCACGCGCTGGCCGGCCTACCTTCTTCCGCCGACTTGAGATTCCGCTTCGAACAGAGACGAAGCTTCAGCAGACTCCGAAAAAGCCTGCGCCTTCTTTAAACCTTTATAACTATATTTTTGCAGAACAGACTGGTTAAACAAACACACAGACGATTTTCGCTAGATTTTCCTCATGTCTTTTGAGAAAGCGGAGTGAATTCACCTCCAGTCATCGACGGAACGGCTTACGTGACCCCTGCCCGCGTGCTTCCGCACCTGCGCTGTGTGAGGGAAACACTTCCGGCTAAAACGGAGAATCAGATATTTAAATCAAACCAAAGGCGACGTTAACAGGGACAAAAAGCTCAGTTTCATAACAAATTTGCTGATAGAAAATGAAGTATTCACACAAAGTTTGCCCAGTTAAATAAAAAACGAGAAGCTCAAGATTAATGTAAACCATGGAACTAAACTTTTCTTCATTGTACACAAATACATTGGTTTTAGATATACATTGCATTTTGCATTCATTTAATGGAATAAGATATGTCACATAATATCCACAAAGATGTGACTTGGGCTTGTCGTGGAAATTCTATTTTAATGCAAGAGTGTGAGTCCGTCTGAGGAAGTAAGAAATAGACATGCATTAAAAGGGAAAACTTCATAGAGTAAGATCAACTAGCACGATCATAAAAGTGATTCGTATGAAGTACCAAGCTCCTCTAAAGCAAAACAAAATAATAGTACATTTTATACCCCTCTCTGAGTCTGGGATGAGGGGTAAAGTCTCTCTCCCATCACTGAGTGACCTGTACCAAACAATCCTCAAGCCAAAACATTTAGAGATTTGGTATAGGAGACATTCGCTAAGACCAAGAAAGAGGAAAGAGTCCCATGAGAAAGAAAAATAACTTTTATGATATTCACAAGTGGAAAGCCACCAGAGAGAACCGAAGAAATTGATTATACATCTATTGAATTCCCCCACAGACTCAAAACCAGTATTCATTACATAGACGTAGATAATCCCAGAAAAGTTATATAATAATAGAGAATCTGTGAAAATCTCACCAGAGCCTTATGCTATTTTGTATGTTTCCCACTGAATGATGATTATCTCCAAAACGATGACTGACACAGTATTTTGAGGATCATTTTTAAAATCAACATGAATAAGAAAGTGAGAACAATATTCTAAAGACAGCTATGCTTGAATTTGAAATCTGTCTGTGCTCTCACACTTCCAAAACATTTGATTTATCATACTTAGAAAGCACTCTGAAGCATTAATTAACCAGGTTTAACTATAAACTGATTTGCCTTTTGTGCAGTAGAATATCTGAAAATGCCAAAAGAAGAGGCCATAGGATCTCCTGTCTGCCGTTACAGCATTTGAATATGTAGATTTATTCAGAGCACAAACTTGCCTGTGGCACGTCAATGTAAATATGTAAATCAGTTCTGTTGAAGCATGGAAACCTGCTAAAACCTGTTGAACTGACTCCTTGTCCTGTGGTTTTTAGTTTGGTTTGGAAGTGCTTTTCCTAAAGAATCTTTTAATAAATTATCCAAAGTTTACTTCCCAATTACCTGCAGTCCATGTCAACAATTTGGCTACTTCTCTTCACTCCCTACATAAGCACTGGGTTGATTCCCTGTTTGGCTATTTAAATACAAACCTTTATCAAAGCTGTGCTCTCACCCAGTCTCTTCATTATATGATTTACGACTTTATATACAGTTTACATCTGTCATATATTCCAGTTTTCCCCCAAAAGTTTAAAGGTGAGTAAAAAGTTAGGCAAGATCCAGAGCCACTGCCTCTGCTTTAGAAAGGAGAAGGGCCTTCCAGTTTGGTGGATGGACACAGTTCAAAGCCACTTTTGCTTTTGGCAAAATTTAGGAGGATTCCTGTTTTTTATTTGAATTCTAACAAGCCTTTCACTTGTTTGCCACACAGGATTAGATACCCCGTCCATGAACTAATTTAATTGAAAAAAAGACCCAGACACATTACACGTTGAAAATAAATAAACTATATTTAACTAAGGTCGACTTCACTTGATTAAGACCTTCATTTTCTTTCAGTAACACATTACACCTCATGCCATATTTTCTAAAACAGGTTTCCATTTTTTCCAAAGAATTTGTCTTTTCATAAAAAAAGTTCAATATAATTTTCAGTTAATTTATTACAATATTGAATAAATGTATTTGTCTATCACATGACATTGCAGTAATTCAGTCATAATTTCCCTACAAGGATTCAGGCAGAGAGAAATTTTCATCATCACAGGAAACAACTTCACAAAGAGACACGTGGAAGAGCAAGACCTGGGGGAGGAAGAGGAGGGCGAGCACTAACACAGACACGGAAATATCATACTCGGACAAACAAAAAGGATGACCGGGAACGCTGCTCATAGCTTTGAAACAGCTGCTTTTCCGACGGCAGCTGAGGAAATGAACCAGATAGGCAGCAGATGTGTGTTTGTCTTCAGTGTTTCTGTTGACGCTGTGGTTGTGTGTCTTTGTGTCATTAACTTTCGGTATTTCAAAAAGAGACACAGTTTGGAAATTAAACCCATAGGAACCTGATAAAATATGCCCGGAGGCGTCCATCACAGTAGACCATGCTGCTAACACACAGGATTCATCATGCATGCCAACGGGGGACACAAAGGGGTTAGGCTAACACAGACGCACACTGTGGGGGGTAGGGGGGGGGGGGGGGGGTTGAGAGGGGAGGCGTCACATCTAGCTACACAACAGCAAAAGGCCGAAGCCGACATTTAGTACAGAAGTCCACAGAAACATGGAACATTGTCTGGACATTGTGGACAGTTCTGTTTGTGGCTGACAATGTCCCACTGTTTCCTCATGTAAACATGCTACTTACACTAAAAAAAAAACCCCTCCAACGAGAAGACTGGATGTAGAAGGAATGCAGGGAGGGTCACAACAAACACTGCAGCAGGAGAGGACATCAAGCTGCTCACAAATTCAGACGCAGATGAATAATTTTTTCCCATATTGCACATCCAAGCCGCAATCCCTGAACCAAACTCCAAACCGTTCACCTCAAGGACATCCAGCACAGCTTTTTTTTTTCCCCACATCAATCATCCCCTGTGAATAAATAAATAAATAAATAATCTCATGAGAAGAAACACACACAGAACAAATCAGCAGATGGGACTCCTCAGTGTGTTTACTTGAGTTAACGTTTGGCTACTTCACACTCCGACACTGTTTTGAGCAGTTAAAGGGAGCTTCCTCGTGGCGGAAAATATATCAAAATCTCATCCACTAAATTCAGCGTCAAATGTAATCTACACTACCTGCTCTACGTACTGAGACTATTTTAAACATTGTTTAGAAATACAAAAGAAGTCTGCCTTGGCTACATCTGCAAGGAAAAGATACAAAACTGTGTTTTTTTTATGAAAGTTTACAAAGTTGTAAGTTTGGGTAAATGAACCAAATCTTTCTGACGTAGTTGTGATTATTAATGGTCATAACAATCTCAGCATGAATAGCACTTATCATTTGAATGTGAGCTTTTTTGTAATGCAGCGTCCTTGCAGAATTGCGTTAAGGTGACTGATATTAGGCAGTGAATTTTATCATTAAAGCCCCTAGTCAAAGCTTATTACTCTTAGCTGTAAACTATGATGTGGCACGCTGCTCGCCATGCTCGCCGTGACATTTTGCAAAACTGACTCCTGCATCCAAAGTAATCACCTTGAAATGTCAGCGTGCAAATGTCGCCGCAAATCCGAGGATGTCTAGGTTTGCGCCTCTAGTTGTGTGTTCAGAAGGATGTTCAATGTCTACTTAGCAGCCAATCGTTTCAGTAGCTTGAGAACAAATGTCCCTGCCTCGAAATACTGAGTTACACAGTCTGCTGGCTGCCGACAGGATGAGAACGAATGACAGGCTTTACGGGGTCATTATGGACAACGCAGAGTCTCAATTAAACGGGAGGTCATTTTTAAGCCTGCGTGAATGTGATATTGCGATCTAAGCCGAGACAAGAGGTGGAACCACAACAGAAACACGATGGCTTCATCTGGATCCAGCGTTACGTCGGTCAGCAGTTTCATGGGTTGCACTGGACTAAAGGAAAAACACAACACTGTGTATAAGTCACACCAAACAAAGTGCAGCCTGGGCAGTTTGTACAGCTGAAAGCTTGAATACTACATTTGTACTTGAATCTTTTCCTTAAGGCATTGTTAGTTTGCTGACTGAGAGCATCCGTTTGCTGTAGATTAGCATTCTGCAGCCTATCGAGGGTGTGGAACAGAAGCTCGTGGAGATTTGATGACTGGAGTCAGTTTGAGAGCCTCACGACTTGGTTTTCAAGTGCCCTTTAGACATGTCTTTTTTGTAAACTAACACTGTTATCTTGTTTGACTGTCTGGGCATGGTTTTCTGCCCATGCTGCTGTAGCTCAAGATAAACAAACAGTCCCTTTAGGGTGCATGCCACAGAGGGGGAGAAGGACGTCTGACTGGAGTCATGCCTCAGATCTGAGTCTGGGTTTAAGTACACCGCTCACAGAAGGAGTGCGTGAGCACTTATTAGGTCGTTCTGAGGAGGAAAAGCGTTTCTTTCTCTCTGCTCCGTGCAGGAGGATTCAACATCAGGGACCAGCTCTGCTCCTTCTGTGGAAAATATGTGACGTGACTGCCTAAACATGCAAAGGGAAATGCTTCAGTTTGGTACAAAACTGTGGCTACCTTAAAAAAAAAGCGCCCGGTAAAGAGATTTCTGACTGGAGAATCCTTGACAACATTTAGACATTTTCTTTGCTCTTTTGCAGCAGCAAGTGATTCATTTGTGTTTAACATGCTGCAAAAATCTAAAACGTGGACGATTTTTAGGACCTCTGACATTCAGGTCTGTGCATTAATCTGATAACATCGAGGGTCCTCTGACAGAAGAGAAATCTTTTTATTTTTTTGCTCATGTTTTTCCTGTTTCTAGATCAGTAAGTTTGCAGTTTTTTTGCTCTCTCAGTGGTGTTTCCCTGTCTGCCCCCTGAAAACTTTACACTCTATATGTACACTGCTTTTCCTATTATACCTATTTTCAGCGCATGTGGAGGATCGCCTGCATCTACACTGCCTATTTGAGAAGCATCACAACTACACGAGGACCTCCTGTGGTAAACAAATAGAATGCTATTGATTTGTAAACATTAGACTCCTTTTTTCACACTGTAGTGCCCCCACACACCCCCACCCTCCCAATCCTGTGTAAAACTCTGCAGAGTCTGTGATACAGAGCGAAGACGTGGATCCTTTACATCAGCCGATGGATGAAACCTGCTTGATGTGCTCATCTTTTGCTCCTTGGTTACAGTACGGACGTACTCTCTCGGTTTTTCTCTCTGCAGCAACCCTTCAGCTTCACACCGCTCATCTCCAAAAACACTTCCTCCTGCCCTTCATCACCCCAGCTGTGCGTGTTTGTAATGATCTGTTTGAACTTGTGTACATGTAGTGTGTGTGTGTGTGACCCCCTTCCAGGCCGCAGTGAGCCCTGCTGAACGTTTCGAACTGTGGACGCGTGGACCGAGGGGTTAAAGTACGTAGGCTGTGTGTGTTTGCTGTGCAATATTCTTCTGGAACATTCAGCATCTCCCTTTTTTTTTAAAACCCCTTGATGTGGCAGTAGGCCTCCAGGCTGGAGAAGAGGATGTAGAGGAACCACAGGCCGAAGAACAGCAGGATGGTCAGGATGCGGGACACCCGCGGGCCTCCCAGCTCTCCGCCGATGGAGGGCCTGCGCCTGAACAGGAGCACGCCCATGCAGATGAACGCGAAGATGGTGAAGAGCGTGACCGAGAAGGCCAGGGACCCCGGATCCACCCGGAACTCCAGTCCTTGGACCCGCCAGTACACGGCGGCCACTGACCAGGCCACGCCGATGCCCAGGAACACGTTGACCGCGTTGCTGCCCGTGACGTTGCCCACGGACGCGTCGGCGTGCTGGTCCTGGACGGCCGCCACTTTGCTGGCAAAAGTATCTGCAGGAGAAAGAGGCGAGGAGAGCGTTTAAGGCCCACGGAAATGATGCACAAATTTCCGGCGTCTGAAACTCACAAAGACAAAAAGATCTCCGATGCAACAGGAAAGACTCACAAATCTCTTTAAAAAATAACCGAAATTGAGTTATAAAGACACTGAAAGACATCAGAATCTCACAGATGACTTGAAAACAATACAGAAAAGATACATGCCAATAAAACAGAAGGAAAAGAAAACAATAGAGAGAGATCAATATAGAGACAATTTGTCGGAAAAAATACAACACAATCAAATAGTGACACAAAAAACTCACAAAATGACTTAACAAAGCTACAGTAAGACCCAGAAGTACCCACAAAAATACTGCAAACAGAAGGCAAAAGGGGGCTGTCAGGGCATTCTGAAGAAAGGAAGCAGCTTTTTTCTTCTTTATATACTTTGTTATGTTCATGTTCGGAGTTACTTAATAATTCCCAGGGTGTATACTTTCAGAAAAGAAAGCATCCGATTGGACCTTTAGGGGTCCAAAGACTCTTCTCTGACCTGCTGTTGTTTCCTTGTACTTTGTCTATCTACCACATGGGGACAGAAGTGTACCTTCCAGGGCCTGTTTACCTTAGGGTCCAGCTTTGACCTACATTGGGTACATCAGGAGATGTGAATATACTATTGGGACAGTGAAACAGTGTTTCTGGTAATATATTAATAGCTGCAGAACACTGTTAGGTTGCTCTCCTGTTGGGAAAGGTGGGGGCTTTTCACATATTTTTTAAGAGGGGCTGCTTCCTCCGTTTATGACCAAAATTAATAAGAACCTCTGGCACCATGAAGGAGCATATTTTCTCACCTGGAATGGACGTTCCCAGAGCCACAAACACCACGGCGGTCACCGTGTCCCGCAGCCCCACCGTGCATCCAAAGTGTGACGCCAGATCGCCGATGACGGCGGTGAGGAGGCCGATCACGCTGATGGACACGATGAAGCAGGCCCAGCCGTTCCAGTACTCGGTGGGGGGGACGCAGGCGAACAGGACCTTCCAGAAGACGGTGAGGAAATGCATGACGTAGTCGTAGCAGGACGGGAGGTGCTCCTCACGGCCCTCCTCGTCATCGTTGCCGTCCCCTGGAGGAGCGTAAAGGAGTCAGAGCGGCTCTCCCAAAACTCACAAATACACACGTACAAACACACGCAGCCTGAGTGCTTAACAGCGTGGGTCCACGACTGACTGCAGGGGACTTAAACTCCCACTAGATGGGGGTCTTTAACAGCAAACAACACCCATACAGAGCTAAACGTTAACACCGGTTCACTGGAACAGCCTCACGTTTACAGTGACGGCCAAAAATGTGCATTTTGTCCGATGTCAACAACATAAGGACACACAGGCGGGCAATTTAGGAGAAGCCAACGTGGACAAACTCATATGGGCTTTGTGTTTTCTGATCATTCAAAACTCAGGCAAATGCTGGCTGGCTTGCTAAATCTGAGGAACCTCCACCTGTGAAGGTCTTAATGGTTCAACAGCGTCCCTGTGCAAAGCTAGTGGAAACTTGATATACGCAGGGAATTGTAATTAACCAGTGTTTGGAAAATTCAGCATAACCTTAATTAGCATGACTTCTTTCACCTGGTTTCAGACAGACAATCAAGCGTTTCGTCAAACAGAAACACTTAATTAGAACAGAGTGTTAAAGTGTTAGCAGGAGCACGCAGATGTTGCTCAGATGTACAGCGGCTGATTTTCAGGGAGGCTCCTCCCGGTCACTTTTTCCACACAAAAACCGGAGCTCACCTGCGCTGACAGTGACCGCCTCCACAAACTGCTCCCTCCAGGAGTGCGTGCCGATGACCAGCGCCAGGTTGGTCTTCTTAATGAGCTTGTCAACAGTGCTCTGCCAATCAGAAAACACAGCACGCCTCATTAGCATCCAGTTACAGTCGGGGACAGAGGACCGTTGCTCTGGTGTGGCCTCTGTTCTCCTGATGGGTGATGCTGCAGAGGCTTATTAAACCTGTTTTGATTCATGAATGTGAGTGTGTGTGTGTGTGTGTGCGTGCGTGTGTTTGTGTGTGTGTGTGTGTGTTAACATCCATAGAGACTTATTTTAACTATAAGTGATTCATTTTTAGTTTGAAAACTCAGCCAAAATATTGCAAACTGTGAAAAACTGTAAGCTGAACAGAAAAGACCAGACACCAAAAATTTAAGGGGCCCAAAGATAGCTAAAGTCAGCATTTTAAAAAAGAGAGAAAAATAAAAAGAGAAGATAAATATAGTAGAACAGCTAAGTCCTGTTTATATTGTAGGCTCATTGCTCTACTGTGGCTATGCAAGCTAAAACCGTTACATCTCAGCTCGTTCAGAAAAAAAACTACTAGTCTAACATACAGACTGGAAACACGTGGATACATTTGTGAAAGAATCCTGAGAAATGACATGGGGTCGTTTTTCACAAATCTGTAGATGAACAAGTTCACTGAGTTTGTCTTTAATCTGCATGCCAAGCAAAAGTAGTTCCCCAATCCCTTTAAACTGGCTGTGAGCTAAATCAGAATGTCAATTGTACCAATTGTATCCAGTCGGTTCAGACTTGCCATTAATCATGGCAGACAGGAGTAATTATTTCTCTCTATAAGGAGACAGTTTCATCAGCTAAGATATTGATATTTAGTGAGCTGCTTGGATCCATTTATTCCACCTGGCTGATGTTGTTTGTTCCCGTTTCCTTTCTACTGCCTCTCCACCTTTGATTAATTCTCAAGCAGTCGATGCACCAATGAGGTTGTTATTTGTGTAAAGCACAGTGAATGTCTGCTTTGTTTATTTTGACTGATAAGATTCTTCCTTTTTCTTAACATTTACACACACTTTGTGTTTAGAAAGCACCTAATTGCACCTTTAGGGGTCCAAAGTCTTGTCTCTGTGGTGGTTCCCTGAAAAGTCCAGCTGTAGTTTGTCGTGTAGTGTACCCTTCAGGGCCTCTAAAAGGACAATTATGGGCCTAGGGGTCCAGTTATTACCCATATAGGGTACATAAGTTCCTTTAGAGACACAAGAATATACTCCTGTTTAAAATAAAATAAATAGAATACTCCTTTAATATTCCCACAGTGTGGAAATTCACCTGTTACAGCAGCACATTTACAAAATACACACAAGTAAATATGTATCTAATATCCAATTAGTTGTGTATGGTATACAAGTTGAAAAGTTGCTCAGTAGTCATGAACAAACTCCTACTGTGCCCCTATTTTTGGCAAAATAATGTGAATAAATATATATATTTTAATGAATGTATTAAAAAAAACACATTCCATGGAATAAACTGCTTGTTATTTTGTTATCCACAGAATTCAACTTCTCTAAAGACATATCAATAACCTTATAAATATTCTAATGGGATATGAATACGCCAGTTTGTTTCGCCTCACTGACATCACAGTTTCAGTGTAAGCCAACAGAGTATCAGGATAAAATCAGTCTGAACTGTACTTTTCCTTCTGGCTGCAGACAGAGAGCTTCGGCTCATGTTCCCTGTTGAATTTAGAGGAAGCCTGAGGATGTAGCAGTACTACGAGCACGTGATGTGATTTCTAATTCTGCATGCCTCAAGCAAGCCGTGTCAAAAAGCTACAGCACCTTGAATAATTCAACCCTCTGCTACACCAACTCACAATTAGAGTGAAGAGGCCAGGTCAAAAGGTAGCAGGGGGAACAGAAAGTGGATTATATAACAGAACCAGAGAGCACATTCTTCCATTTTTTATCCCTTATGTCCAAAAAATAAAACAATGACAGTATTAAGTTATGATCCCAGTAGATGTCACATTATTCCTCTTTTAGGATCATTATCATCCAAAACAGGGCAGCTGTGATTGTTGATGTTTTTAAAGTAAACTTCCCGCTGAATTTCTTTAATATGTGCCCATGATCAATGTTTACTCTCCTTTTTTAGTCTCTTATGTGATGTAGTGTTACTTAAAATGTATGTAAAATGTATGTAACCCTAACCCTAACCCTAACCCTAACACATTTTTTTTCTTCTAGATATGAATAAGTTTTAATAATTAACCTTTGACCTTTTGTCTTTTTATTTGATCAAATTTCTGTTCTCTTTCCAGGGATTTAGTTTTATGTTTAGTGTGTGTGTGTGTGTGTGTGTGTGTGTGTGTGTGTGTGTG